CCTGACCACACCCCCAGCTCAGAGGGAAATAGTCTCTACATCCACTTTTCCCTGGATGCTGGAGGCATTCTGAGCCACACTGTTTCATGATATCAGCATGACAGGCATCCTCAGGAAGGAGCCTGGAGCCTTTGGATAAGAAGCAGTAAACAATCAAAACTGCCACAGACATTTACCTAGGGCGTCCTGGAGCCAGGCACTGTGCTGAGAACTTTATAACCACTCTCTCATTTCATCCACTCCCCAATGAGGTAGGCACTGCTGTCCCTACTTTTAAAGATGAGGAAACCAAGGCACAGAGAGGTTAAGTTACTTGCTTGAAGTTACACAGTTAGAGAAAGGCAGCCTAGGGATTGAACCCCGGTCTAAATTTAAGACCCAGACTCCCAGACATGACAGTCATGCTAAGAGTGGGTTGTTTCTGTCCTGGCCACAAATGGATTAATGAGCAAGACAGACAAAGGAGACTAAGCCAAGGAGCTTCCAGCCTCTGGCTTGGGGGTAATTTAAAAGCCAAAAGTTTGGCAGCCTTGTCCTTGGATTATTTTGAATTCCAGACCTCCCAAAGGTAAGAATAATGGCCCATTGACTATACTTCAGTGTGGGTCCCAGAGATGCCTACGTGGGAGGGGAACCATAGCAGATACCAACTGCCATGGAGCTGGTTCTGTGGCCCAGCTCCTCTTGTCTACTGGGGGACTGGACATCCCCCATCTCACTGTTGCTTGTGGAGGGAATGCCAGTCCCAGGCTCCTTGAAAATATGGTCCACAGGAGTGAGCATGTGACTCAAGCTGGACCAATCAGAGCCTTCCATGAGATCTGAGATGAGAAAGCTTCTCTGTCTTAGAGAAAATGATCCCTGCAGTTATAGACTTGGGGCTGGGGGCAGCCACCTTCCCACCAAGTGGAAAAATGAATGAGGTCAGTATGCACAGAAGTGTGGAGTCAAGAAGCCTGGGGGCAGTTGAGAGACCTGAAGACATTGGGGTCCTAAGGCAAGACCCACACTCAACCATAGCAAATACAGTACTCAGGGAATTATCTTTGTTGCTAAGTCAGTTTGAGCTAGGTTTCTCCCAGGGGCGAGAACAGCCTCACTAGGGGAACAGAGAGAGCCCAAGGCTCCTTGCCCTTTTGGTGGTCATACACCCACCCTCTGGCCCAGTAACTCTGCCAGAAATGACTGACCCTCAACTCTAAGGAAGGCTAGCAGACAAGAGCAAGGCTGATCCTCTCAGGCCCTAGATTGGAGCCTAGGCTGCAGACAGAGCTATGTCAGTGAGGGCCCTTGAAGGAAGATCATGAGGGTGAGTAGTGTGGGCTGGACACTAGTCCATAGGAGTAGGGACTGGTGTGACTCCACGCTGGGACACAGAGGTGTTGCCTTCATGCCCCAACAGTGGTCCCATTTTGCCAATGCTACCAAATGCTAGGAAAGCCAAAAAAACTCTGATTTCTATGTGAACTGCCCCAATTCTTAAACCAGTCTAAAGGCAAAAAAAAAAATAAAAACCACTAAAGGCAGGCCTGATCAGACTTCAGGCTTCCGCTTGGTGACCTCTGACCTGCTGCTTTTTGGGTGACCCAGGAAGGGAAAGAACTGTCCTCAAGCCCAAAATTCTCACTTGTGGTAAGTGGGGAATGTCTTGTCAGTATTTCAGCTAGTTCCAGAGTCAGACCTGCCCTGAGGCAGAGACAACAGCCTCCACCCATCAGGGGCGTCCTGATGTTATATTGAGACCCTGGATCCAGTCTTACCAAGATCTCCTGGAATAGCCAGTTACATGCGCCCATGAATGGTCATCCTTTTGTGTTTAAGCACCTGGGAGGAAGGTTTCCCAAAGTCATAAGTAAACAGCTCCTCAGGAGAGAAAGGGACCTCCAGAGGTATATACAAACCCTTGAGTTGCCCTATCGCTGCCTGGAACTTAGCAGAAACCTGCCCGAGTCAGGGGTGTCAGGGTTAGGCCCTCCCCACCAAGTCTATGGTAGGACACACACACACACACACACACACACAGAAAGCAGGGCCTGTAACTCCAAGCATATCTTGGGACCGAGGACCCTGGTTTGCAATCAGATGCTAGGCTGAAAGGCTGTCACTTCTACTTGCCCAGCATACTTTCTCCCTTTTGGGGAAAACCCCAATACTCTCAGTGGCACCTCCTTCCCCTTTTCAGACCACGCAGTTGGCTTTAGAGAGGGGCACCGTAATTCAGGCTGGCCAATCACTGTACTAACCCCATCCCAGGTCACAGTGATTGGTCCAGGTTGGACACATGACCAACAAGGTTGGCCAATCAGTGTTCTCCATTCTCATTGGCAACCATGATTGCCTCAGGATTTGACCTGGGCTCCCGGCTGGCTGTTAGACTGTGCTCAGGGGTGAGGATCAGAAGTCTAGGGATAAAGAAGCTCCCTTAGGCAGCCGAGTGGAGCAGGAAGCGGATGGGACACATAAAGGCGAGGGATCCCACATCCAGAAGACTTGAGGGTGGTTGCATCAATGATGCTTGGCCTTGGCCTTTCCTTACACGCAGCCAGGAGCAGCTGGTTCTGTCTTCGTGACCTTGAGAGCCCTAGCTGAGGGCTGGGTCCTTGCCACCTACTCCAGACACCCTGACTCTGGCAGTGTCTAGGCCTGGGACTTCGGCCCATGTGGTCCCAGGCCTCGCGTCAAGCTGGCTTCTCCTTCTGAACACTCCCGGATGCGGGCCGAGCAGGCTACCCCCGAGCACTGGGCCCAGCTATCTGGAGATCAGGGAGCTGCTGTGGGACTGGCCTGAGGAGGAGGCGGAGGTGGCAGCGCTGAGCTGGGAGAAGCCGCTGGTGCAGGACTCGAGGCTGGACATGGAGCCCCTGGGGAGGAAGGTGTGGCACACGTCACCTTTGGGCCAACATACACAGTGGAAAAGCTGTTGGTGTGGCAAATGAGGCCCCAGGGAGTGTTCCACAGGGCTGGCAACAGCCCCAGAACCCCAGGCCAAGTGCCCAGGGAAAAGCAAGTGACGGTGATGAAAAATGATGCACCACCCATTCCCTGCAGCCCATCTCCCCACTCCAAGAGACACAAACTGATCAGGTTTCCCTGCCCAGAGGCCATCACAGCCTGAGGAGTCCCTGACCCATATCCAGTGTCATCCCCTCACTGTGCTCTCAAGCTACATGGGCCCTTTTGGGGACAATGGACACAATGTAGAGGTGTATGCCACACCTCCTGGGTGAGGGGCACAATTACAACAGGGACAAATACAAACAAATGCAAAGATTTTGGCCTAATCATTTAGACCCTCATATTAATCTGAAATTAAAAATAATAATAATTGAAAAAGCTATACGGATTCTCCTCCAGCTCCTCCAAGTGCCTGCATGTGCTGAACTGGCTCCAAGTTTCAGAGGAGGGCCATCCACAAGAACTTTCTGCAATGACAGATGTCTGTATGTGCACTGTCTACTGTGGTGGCCACTGGCCCCCTGTGGCTCTTAAGTGCTAGAATTGTGGCCAGTGCCACTGAGTGACTGATTAGTTCATACTACTTCATTCTACTTGCTAAGTTAAACTGCTGCAGGTGGCTAGTGCTACCATATTGGACGATGCAGCTTTAGTGCTACTCAAAGTGTGGTCCTGGGACCAGCAGCACCCAGAGCTTGTTAGAGATGCAGAATCTCACCCAGCACAGTGGCATGGGCCTGTAGTCCCAGCTACACAGGAAGCTGAGGCAGGAATATTACTTGAGCCCAGGAGTTTGTGGACATCCTGGGCAATATAGCTAGTCCCCACCTCAAAAAGAAAAAAAAAGAAAAAGAGATGCAGAAATCTTGGCCTCCCCAGAGCTGCAGAGTCAATGAGACCCCTTGTGACTTGTGTGCCTATCACTTAGATCTCAACTCCCCTGTCACTCCCCAGATCTTCCTGCATCCCCTTCTCCAACCCTAGGTCCTCAGGCCCCTGTCCTATGCTCTCTGGGTTAAGTCTCTTAGCACCTCCCAGACCTTGAGCATGGCATCCATCACTGCCCAAATTTATATTCAGGTATGAGCCTCTTCTGGTCCTCTGTTTCATGATGGCAGACCCTTTCTGTGTAGTCCCTTCCAGACCCAGCCCACCACCTGCCCACTGAGGGTGACCAAGTAATAGCCTTAGAATGGATTTTCTCATGAGGCCAGGGAGCTCCCCCTATGCTGACCAGACCAAGAAGCTGGCATGCAGCATCCATCCCACCTCTTTGGCCTCCCTGATGCCTGGATCTGTTCTTCAGAGTCCCCCAGGGCCTCAGCCTGTCACTTCACACTGAGGACCAGTGACCAAAACATGCCACTTCACAGAGGAATTCACCAGTTTTCCCTCCCACCCACAGCCCTGGGACCCCTCTTTGGATAAAGACTCTGGCCTAGTATTCCTCGCACTGGACTGGGTTCCTTGGAGCTCTGCCTGGACTAAGGGTCCAGACTCAGCACTTAAAGCATTCTTTTTAGATGGGAACCAACACAGATGTGGCATGAAGCAGGATGCAAAATCACATGCATTTTTAACAGATAAAGCTCAAGGCCTTGAAGAAATTGCCTGCTCCACCCCCAGACTCTCCCCTCATCCTGCCATTCATTGCCTGCTATGTGTCCAGGTGGCAATGGGCACCCCAGCCATTTCCTCCTCATAACAAGCCCATGTGGTAGGGGCATCAGTGGCTCCCAATCAAAGGATGGGGCACCTGAGCCTTACAGAGGTGTAGTGACTTGCACCACAACCAGGAAGTGCTGGAGTGCTCACCACAGCACTTCCCTGTGTCTCTGAAAGCAACAACTCGGGGAAAGGAGAGCTGCCTGTGAGGCACCATTCTAGGAGTGAGGGGAGTTCCAAATGGGAGGGTCTCAGGCTCCCCTCTCCTCCACCACCCCAGCTGTGTCACTGGGTTTCATCCGAAGAGTCTGCAACAGTGTATGTTCTGGAGAGTCCCAACAATGCCCGTGGTAGGACCCCACAGAGTGGGGAGCTGGGAGAGGAGGAGACGCTGAGGGGACAGAGCCCGGGAGTCTGAGTGACTAGCATTTCACTGAATCCAAAACCCACAGCCCAAAGGAGGGGACACTGCACAGGGTGGGCAGCCTGGCCTGCAAAGGAGCCCCAGGGCCCTCCCAGCGCTTCCTACCTGAAGTCCTCAGACGCAAGCACCTCACAGTAGTATAGGAGTTTGCACTTGGGACCAGGGCTGTGAAGAGCCGTCAGGACATCATCCACACCCGGGAGGCTGCAGGCCACACTGCCAGGAGGGCTGTGCATCTGCCACTGCAGCAGGTAGACCCCAGGCCACCGGGTCACATGGGAGCCCTGAAACACAGCAGCCATGCCCTAAGCCTTCACAGGCTCCCTGTCACCAGGCCTGGAGAATGGGGTCCTCCTCCCTCTGTCCTTTCACCAGTCCATCCCCAAACCCTCTTAAGGCCTCCTGAGGCTATCCTTGCTGTCCCCCACCCACCACCCACTGCCCTGTGACCAGAACCTCCTTGTTAACCTGCGGGAGGTGAAGCCCGAGGTGGGGTGCAGCTGCAGCCTGGCAGATGTGGTGAAACACCTGGATTGTGTGGGGCTTTTGTTCTGAGTGGGATTTGGAGAGGTATTTAGGTCACAAGTGTTAGTTAGTTGCGGGGTGCTGAGAGTGAGAAAGCAGAGCATTAGTTGTCATAAGAGCAACTCTGAGGAAGGGCTGAGACGCTCAGTGAGAGCGAGGAGTGGCTGGTGCCAGACGGCCTTCTGCTCCCTGCCCTGGGAACCTTCCATGAGAGCTGCCAGCGGATCTGTGTGTGCACGTGTATGAATCTGGGGGACAGAGAGATGTCCGTGTTCTGTTCCAGACCTACAGTTTCACCACATCAAAAATCTGCAGGCTGATCTCAGGATGGCATTTCCCCTGCCATCCATACTGACTTCCTACCCCTCCCGGCACTTGTCCTGCCCCCACACCCTCCCTGCTGCCTCAACTTTATTTTTGCTATTTCTCCACCTCAAAAATAATCCCCCTGCCACCTTTAAGACCCAGCCATTCCTCAAGGTCTTTCATACTGAAGCCACTTCAACTCATGCACAGGACTTGGACTTCAAATTACAACACCCTGTCCTCTCTGCATGAGCATGAGTTAATGTAGTGAGTTGAATAATGTCCCCCCAAAATTCACATCTAACCAGAACCTCAGAATATGACCTTATTTGGAAACAGCGTCTGTGCAGTTAAGGATTTAAAGGGTTGATATCCTTACAAGAGAAAGGACGGAGAGATTTGAAACACAGGAGACAGACAGACTAGCCAGTCCTGTAAGGACAGGAGCAGAGACTGGAATGATGTGTCTACAAGCCAAGGAATGCCCAGACAATATGTGTATTTCCTGCTGTCTGGCAGAGGTCCTGAGGCTGAAGACCACATCTGGCACATAGTGGACACTCAATAGTGTTTGATGAGTGAATAAGTGATCCAAAGAATGTGAACCTGGATGCTTTCCCCTTCCCGGCAGATGAGAGGAGCCTCCACACGGCTGTAATCCCTGCCAAGGACCCAGCTTTTGTCGATCAGCTGCTCCCGGGGGCCTGGCTTGGGCAACTGCTTGGTGTGGTACAGGCTGAACACCACGTCCCCTCGCAGAATGTCAAAGTCCCAGGTAATGACTGACTCCCCTTCCAGAATTTCTACCGCGACCTGCAGGGAGACAGGTGCGGTCTGAGGGGTCCCAGCCAAGAGTGAAGCGCTGGAAGTGGGAGGACAGCAGCAGGAGGTGTTGTGGGTGCCCATGCAGATGTCCTTTGCTGTGTCCACACTCATTCCCCACTGTAGGGAGGGTGGGCTGCTAAGACCCCAGCTGCCCCTTCATCTAAGAACTGGCCTGAGCAAATGGACCCTCCTTTCTGAAACATCTGGGGGGCCCTTCTGCAGTGATCACGTTCCAGAGCTCCCTGCCAGGTTAGGCAGGTGCCACATCTCCACCTGCCCCCCTGCCTTCCCCACCCGAGATTAATCACCAGCATGAGAATCTTGACCTAAGACAATACCCCAGCCCAGTGGGCACACCCAGGCCAGGCCCCAGCACCTCGTGAGGAGCCCCGCGGGGGATGCTGGCTGCCTGGTAGGTCTCGCTCCACTGCCGCAACTGGTCTGCCTGTTCCTGCTCCTCCTCTGTCAGGTAGAGGGACTTGGGGACAAGCCCTCCTTCCGGAACATTGCACTGTGGGTCAGAGACGAAGGGTGGCAGGTCAGTGCCAGTCAAGGCCTGGCTGGCCTGTCCCATAGAAGGGTGCCCTGACACAACTTACAACGACCCCTGGCATCGCTGGGCAATGGGCTTCTGTGATGCCAATTAAACCCCAGAACCATCAACACAAAAGGGATAACTATTCTGCCCATTTCACAAAGGGAAACGGAGGCTCAAAGAAGTCAGGCCACTTGCCCACGATCACACAGCAGCAAATGGCTGGGCCAGTGCACAAATTCACATGGTCAGCCCCTCGGGCTCATGTCCCTTACCCTGATACAGGACTCAGGATTACCTTTACACTGCACCCCCCAGTGGCTGCACCGCCCCCTCAGTAGTGGAGATGGAGCAGTCTCTTAACTGTCCCCCTGCCACTGCCAAACAATGATTTCTGCCCTCATTTCACTTGTTAAAACATGAGGATTAACAAGTGAGATCACTGCCCGGTGTCCTTCAGTAAGGCACCCTCAGATCGGCAGGCCCATTCACTAAAAATAAATCATGCATGCAACATTATCGCCACCAGTGGAGGGGACAGGCAAGCTCATACAGTTCCTAGGAAAAGACTTTTTTATCCAGAAATTACGCAAGCTGTTTGGTATTTTTGTTAGCCCTGCCTGCTGATGGCTACATGAGATGACAGGGTTGTGGCCTAGGCTCCCTGCTGCCTTTCATTTCACCCCAAGGCAGGCAGCAAAGGAGTCTGGATGCTGTCCCCCTTGAAGTGGTGGCCTGTCCATCCCGGCTCTGTCCCTCTGGGTCTGCCCGCTCCCTGTCCAGGGCCACCACCAAGACATGGGAGTTACCTCCCCTGCAGCAGAGGGCACAACGTGAGTAGTAGGTGAGAGTAGGTGAACTCTCACCACTGCTCAGCGTCATCTTTGATGGCACTATAGCATGGGTAAGCTTTGACTGGCCTGATCCTTGGGCTTCCAGAAACTTCCATCTCACCAGGTTTGAAAGACCCAAAGCATGACCCAACCTGAGGTGTTTCCCAAAACAAGCCCTGCCTGGGTGGAAAGCCAGCCCAGCCCTCCCAGGGTAAGAGTGTGCCCTGCTGCATGCTGCTTGCCTGGGCCCCTGATCAGCGGGGCACCTCACCAAGCTCTCTCCCCCTAGAAAATCGGGGATCACTTCTTTGTCCAGGTAGTCCACCAGGCCTCCAGGGCCCTGGTAATTGCTGCCACTGTAGATGAGGAACTTCTGCCGGGTGTTCTCGTTGATGAAGGGGCTGATCTGAAATGCAAGAGGAGAGGCAAGTCCACCAAAGATGGACTTTGGTGCTGAGATGTAACCCTCATAACACAGGTGTAATCATTTCACAGCGGGCAATTCAGTGGCTCCTGGTGCCCACACTACCTTGAGCAACCACTGCATCTATCTAGTTCCAAGGCTCGTTCTTCACCCCAGAGGGAAACCCCACACCCATCCACAGTCACAGCCCCTTTCCCTTCCCCAGGCCCTGGCAGCCACTGATTTGCTAGAACCAAATCCTACTCCCAGCTGGGACCCCGAAGGCTGACTCACACCCAGTGTGTGCCTTCCTAGGAAGTCTCCAAACTGCAGATGAACTTGGTTTGCATAGAGACCAGGACAACTGGGGACAAGCTCCAGGACCAGCTCCCTGTCACTTGAACAGAGCCTGGAAGCTCCTCCAGGGCTCGGAGAACTGTCTGCGCTGAAGGCTGCTCAAACCCTCCCCTGCTCACAATCCTTCACGGCTCCCCACTGCCCCAGGACTCAGCAGGTACTGACCCCTGTGCAGTTTCCTGGCCTCTCCTGGTGCCATAGTCCCTCTTGCTCCTTTTTGCTCTGGTCACCCCCTGACTGTTCTTTCAGTTTCCCCAAAGCACAGAGCTGGGTGTGGCCTCCAGGCCTTTGGCCAGGCTGTGCTGTTTGACTACCACACCCTTCCTCTTGCCATTCCTGAGAAGATTCCTGCTTCTTCCTTAGGTCTCAGCCACATGTCACCTCCTCAGAGGGGCCCTCCTCTGTTTCCCCTGTACCACTCCCTGCCTGACTCAGTCTCTCCTCAGGGACATCCTCATGTCCTTGTTGCAGAGAATCCTGACATTTTTATTAGAGGGGCTACCTAGTTAATCCCCCTCCCTCACCCTCTGACATGGGGGGTACCCAGTTGGCTGGCTTATTCACTCTAACCCCCAGCACCTAGACAGGTACCTGGCACATAGTAGGTGTTTAGTAAAACACTGATTGGCTAATTTAACCTTCAGTTCTCTCTTCTTCCTGACTGAACCTAGGCTTCCCACTTCGCAGGGTTCCTATATCCCAGGGCCACTGGGCTGGGCCTGCAGGCCTGGGAGGGACCTGTTCCCACTGTTCTGCCAGGCCACCAACAGCAATGAAGCCCCAGGGCAAAGGTGTGCAATGCAAGTGCCAATCTGTTCGTGAGCCGTAAAGTTGATTTCCTGCATCAAGAGCCCACTTTTAACGAAATGGAATTGAAGACAACAGTCAAAATGGTGTTGTCAATAGTTAAATGACCCATCACTCTGCCGACCTCTTGTTTCAGATGGGAGAGTATCCTGGGCCACAATATAAAGTGTATTCTGTGGGCTGTGGACAGAAAGTTTTAAAAGCCCTATAGGACAGGGCCCAAATGCTCCTCAGAACCAGCTCACGGGAGTCCCAGGAACACTGCACCATTCTGTGTGGCTCTCAAATTAGAGAAAAAGAATAATGAGCATGCACACTGCAGTTCGCCCCTATGGTAGAATGTTATTCAGCCATAAAGAGGTTTGAAGAATACAGGCCACAACACAGATGGCCCTTGAGGACCTTGTTCTCAGTGAAAAGAGCCAGACACAAAAGGTCACACAGCGTATGATCCATTTTGATGAAGTGTCCAAATCAAGCAAATGCACAGGGACAGAGTAGATCAGTGATTGCCTGGGGCTGGAGAAGGGGTGGGGAGTGAATGCGCATGGGCTGGGGGTTCTGGAATTCAACAGTGGTGACAGTTACAGAACTGTGAATATACCAAAACCCGCTGAATTCTAAACTTTAAAAGGGCATTCATGGTGTATGAATTACATCTCAATAAAGCTGTTAAAAGAAATGAAACGAGAGAGCCAGGCAGAGCAGGGTAGCTCACGGAGGGAACCCCTGTCCAGGTCAGGGGAGGGGGTTCAGGCTGTGGCTCTTACCAGAGTCCAGAGCACAGGGAAGACACGGGGGGCTCGCACGATGAGCAGCCGGCCCAGGGTCTCAGGGTAGTTGTCCTGGACCACTTCGATCATCCTCAGCAGGGCCTTCACGCCCGGCCGCCACAGGTGCCGCATGTTCAGACCCTCCAGGTCCAGCAGGCAGGTCCAGGAGCTACAGCAGAGACAGCCCCCACTCCACCTGGCTCTGCCACCTCCCAGGGATGGACAGGGAGGCTCAGTGAGCCAGGGCTGGGACAGAGGGGCCACAGGACTTTCTGGTGGATCCCACCATGGTGGGGAGTTCAGGTGGCCAAGAGATTCAGACCGTGGACACCAAGGCTGAGGCCTGAAACTCAAATCCCCCTCCACCCTTAGAGCTGTGTGATGGGGCCACCAACCTAACCCTCCTCCTTGGGACAGTGGCAAGGGCAATCAATAACAGTCCCTATCTGGAGCAAAAGGGTTAGGTGAGATGGTGTATAGAAAGCTCTCTGTGAGTATTGCACACAGCACGCACTCAACTAAAGCTTGTTATTACTGCTCATTGTTGAAAAGTCGCTAACTACTCAATAGAGCACAGGAACTAAGAGCATGTACCCCACAGCCAGATGGTGCAGGCCTGCCACTTGCTGTGTGGCCTTGACCAAATTCTTAACCTTTCTGTGCCTCCATTTCACGATTATTAATTCATTAGGAAAATGACTGTTTTGATGCAGTAGCTGGTTCCTGGGAGCCTCTCCATCTTGGATTTGTTCCCTCAAACCTGCACCCACCTCTGCAAGGAGTCCTTTTATGGCACCCCCTCATCCAAACCGTCAGGGATGAATTCCACCAGCCAGGGCCTTAACTGATCAATCCCCACCCCACCCCAACACACATTCCCTTAGGAAATCTCCAAATAGCAAAGGAACTTAATTTTTGCCAAGATCAGGATATTTGGGGATAAGCATCAGGTCCTGACTATCTCTGTCTCTCTGGGCTGTTAGGAGGATGAAATGAATGGAGATGTTAAGAAGAGCACCTGGCTATGTACAAGGCAAGTACCGTATGGTGTTTGTGTTCTTTTAACAGTTACAGTTTTGATAAACCATTAAAAAATAATTTTATAGGCTCGGCGCCTATAGCTCAACCGGCTAAGGCGCCAGCCACGTACACCTAAGGTGGCTGGTTCGAATCCCCAACCCAGACCCGCCAAACAACAATGA